TTCGTCGAGTGTGTGTGGTTGACGAACTTTGAAGTGGTTCATGCTATGCTTCAGCCCTAGGTGCAAACATTCCATGCCTAATAAATATAATAATTTTTTAAAAATCACTTTTGTCCACTTATTTTACTTATCCTACTTAATTTTACAGTTTAAATAGCGTGTCTATTACTTATTTGACATGTAGGCCTAGTGTCTTGGTGATTACCGAAGAGGTGAGAAGATGTCCTGGCTCTTACTAGCTAGACGCGGATTCCTGAATTGTGGGCTTGTATGAAACATTCTACGATAACAAAAAGTCTTAACTTAATGATATAATTTTAATACAGTTACCCACCAATTCGAGGCCCCCTTTGGGACCTGAAAAGTTAGGGTGGTCTCAGGGTTTGGTCTCCTATTAGAGGGTTAGCTTTGTGTCTAAAAAATAAGATTGTTATTTGGTCCTTTGAAAAGTGGTCTTCTCACATTAGACTGGTCTTGGAATTAGAGGGGTCTCGAATCTTCATTGAGTTGTCTTTTGAGCAAATTTAGGTAAGTACTGAACACCAATAGCATCGACTAGGAAGTTAAATACAAACACGGTCGCATAATTTTAGTGTTTTCTTTTCAGAAAACTATGGTCGCATCGGTATATCTGTTTTGCAACAAAATAGTTTCATAAGTAGGTCTGCATCGATTTTGAAAAATCAAATCATATTTAATACTGTTTTAATAATAAATTTTCATAACGTTAGAGAAAATATGTTATTTTGTTGGTGTATTCCTTACGTTATTATATCATCAATATTATCTTAGTTCAGAGTTTTATAGTATTTAGAAGCATATCCTAATATGTGTTTGCGGTATAGAAATGTAAACCTAGTAGACATTGAATTCAGATAGTTTCATCTGGCTTACTTACAAGAACATTTTCCATGTTTATTAGACATTAAGTAACAATTAATGCTAAGTAATATAAGAAGCGGTTTGTTATTATTCATAATTTCCACATATATATTATGCTATATACTTAAACCTAACTTAGTAAGTAATATAGCCAGATATACTATATATATGATATATTAGGCCTATATATAATTCTTCATTAATATTTTCGTAGCTCACACGTAAGATTGTTCAAAACTTAGCATTAGTTTGCACATACTAATTTAATGTAAAAATGTTAAACCACGGCACACCTAATCTCTTAAAAACTTATTCTGATTGGTTGAATAATTACTCATTTCTGATAAGTTAAAATATATTTGAAAGCAAAGCTGGCAATTTCAGTAACAAATTAAGTTATTAATTTTAAACACGACCATCACACTCAAATAATGGATTTGTATTATTCTGCAAGCGATTTGGTTACCTACTCCGTTTCTTGAGAGTGGAATGCAGTTTGACACATATGAACAACGGCTTATTATGGATATGGGTCCAAAGTGCTTACTTTGCGGCTATTAGTGCAGTCAATGAATACTGTAGTCTTTATATCGATAGCATCCATCCGTGCATACCACACTATGTGTGACTAACCGTTTGCATACAACAATACAACATTACACAAATATAGTCCAGTAAAATACATCAATATACCACTGATATGCAATACTTTCATACAAAATTTGTTTAGTCTAACGTTATTAATAATTCATCAATCATAATCAATTCAAGTAACGTAGACGTAGGTTTAGTCGCCTAAATTTGCAAATATATGTTGATGTTATTTGTTGATCAGTAGTCTGCACCATGGTAAATCAAACCCTGAACATCAAAAGTGTACTAATCGTTGACGAGAAAGAAATAAGCAGTGTTGCTTTTAGTGATAAACGTCATCTAGTTACTAAACGATCGATGTTACCATTTATTGACGCGTTTTGCGTTTCATGTCTAATTCAAACCGTCTCTGATTAGAGCAATTACAGTTAAAGTTGCTCTCTGTTATGTGTAGGCTTATCGTAGTCGTGCATACATTAAATTAAACATTTTAATGGACCGGTAGCATTGAGAATGAGAAACTGCTATCTATATTACAAATGGATTGAAGACTCTTTATATTTGAAGTCCATGAAGAAAATTGAGGGCCCATAATTAATTAAATAAACACCCATCAATGAGAGGGCCACTTTAATGTATACCAGTCAATCAATGGAATCTATACCTTTCATTCGTCAGTTTTCCGATTTCCTGACGCGTATATTTAATTCCGCACGATTTGCCGACGAGCCCTGACAGGTGGAAAGGGAGATTCTACTCAGAGTTTAACACCTCTTTAAGACAATATCACATAATCTGTCAGCTGATGCATTTGCAGGAAATTTTAATAGATGTTAATAGTTTAAATAACGTACAAATCTTCAAACATTCACGTGGAGCTTCTAACGACTGCCTTAAACATATTCAGTTGAACATTATTAAGACATGAATTATAAAACAAAGCTATCAATAGGATCTATATTATTTTCCATTATTTCATTTATACTTGGGCTAACATCAATAAATATTCTTGCTTATCCACGATAACTGTATCTGAATATGTTATACATTCATTGTCTGCAAAGACCACATGATAACACAACATTGCTGCATTCACATCTGATCCGAATCAATATTCCGACGCATTTCTGAAATTCTAAAGTTCTGTCCGGATTACTTTACCAAAGTTTCTTTGACAAAAAAACCTGTTATATGCGCATCAGGCCCGTAGAAGCAGTTTATTATTGGTCAGGCCAAAGAAACGAAGCCCCCCCCCCCTTTGACTCCTTAGAGGGGTATTTACCAGGGGCGGCGCTAGAGACTCCCTGATGAGGATCCTAGCTCCATGGTCTATAGCTGAGGTGAAAAAATTTGAAATAGACTATAGTATTCTACCGACGAAGGGTCAGAGGTTTTATTCCCCCAGACCCCGTACCGGTGGCGTCAACACTGGTGTTTTGGCACTTCCAAGATATACAAAAATTGAAACTGTTTGTCCTACAGGGCAGTATGACGCAAGGCTTCTAACCTGTCTTATGCGGACCATATCTTATCAAAGCCAAACTCGACAGCCTATCTAAAAAGTAGTAGCACAGAGGGAAGAGAGACCGCTTCGCCGCTTAATACTCTGGAAACTTTAATGTCCAAATAGAAGAAGCAGATTTATAACGTATCCCGATACCCTATGCAGGGATGCGGGACTGACTCAAGAAGAACTTAGAACTCTTGGAAACAAAGACCAATGGCGTGAAACTGTGTCCAGTATCGCGGCAACAGGCGAAAGATAATAATGATAAGATTGAAAAATGCACATTTAATAACTTTTAATTGCACATTGCTCGCTAAAACACTAAATCGATTTAATGTATGGGCCGATGATGGTTTAAATCAGGTTATTCAATTGAAAATTAGAATGTTAAAATATCTAGTTCTTCGTAAATTTAAAGACCTACTGCAGTTCCTATTCGTTTACCGTGACTTTTTAAAGTTGCCTCCTCACGTATTATGTATCTTCCCGAATTCCCAAAATTGCAACCAGTGTAGAAAATGTACCGTAGTGCATTAATTGGGAGTTATCTGCGACTGAAATACTACCTGGTAAATTTAAAAAAAATTTCTTAAGATATAAATTATCATAACATATATGTATTACTAATACTGGGCATTCAGACTGTGTTCTCGGCGCATGTTCTCGGCACATAATGTTCTCGGCACACGTCATTTTTTGTAGTCTGAACGTGTGCTAATGGAATTTATGTCGAGCACAGAATGTTCTAGCTAGAACCCAGTTGAACCACGTTCTCGGAACAAAATGTTTTCGAACTACGACTCTGGAATGAAGTCTGAACGTGTGCCGAGCATAAAATGTTATAACTGCACAGCAAAATCCTGATTCTTATTTTGAAAAAAAAAATACTTGTTTTAAGCAATTATTTTCTAAAAATAAGTAAATTTTTACTTGTCCATATACTGAGAACTTTTGGCTAACCAAGAATACAAAATTCTCACCAAGAATAATTCTTAGTAAGAATAATATTCTTACCAAGACTACAAAATTCATTCTTGACAAGAATTATATTCTTACCAAGACTGCGAAATTCATTCTTAGCAAGAATAATATTCTTACCAAGACTGCGATTAGCAAGAAAAATATTCTTACCGAGAATAATTCTTAGCAAGAATAATATTCTTACCGAGAATTCTTCTTAGCAAGGATGATATCTTACCAAGAATATAATTCTTAGCAAGAATAATATTCTTACCAAGACTACAAAATCCATTCTTAGCAAGAATTTTCTAATCGAGAATAACATTATGGCCACAGTATTCTTATCAAGAACAGTATTCTTACCAAGAATATCAAGAGAAATATCCTTACCAAGAATACTATTTCTTACAAAGAATAACAATAAAAATAAGATTCCACCTTGTAATTTCGACCTTGGCAAGAATAACCTAGTAATATAAAAATTAATTTCAATTTAATTTCTCTTACTTCCCACTAAGTTGTTGAATACTAGAACTAGTATGGTCTAATCATCCATAAAATTATAACATCTTCCTGTGTCTTAACACAAATCATTACAACTGTACCTTATACTAGCATGAAGTAGAGTACTGCATAATTGAAACTTGGCAGTAGACAAATTACTGAAACACAATACAGTACCTCTTATTTATCTCTGAATTTTATTTAACAAATTATCAATAAATATTGTCGTTATTCTATTTCACATGCTCTTTTTACAAATCTACATGGTAAAGAAATGAATTGCAACAAATATGAAATGAATGAATATAAAATCGTCATTCTACTTTACATGCTCTTATCAGAATAATAAAGAAAACGAATTGCATCAAATATAAAATTAAAAATTATGCTATAAATTACTATTTTAACAAATAAAAAAGTATATGAGTGTACTATATGAATTGAATGAATTTACAGAACCTTTTTTGTAACTTTTAGAACATAATGGGTGAGTAAAAACCTTTATATTATAGACCTATATCAATTATATACAAAAGCATGTAAATATAAAAATGCATAATACAAAATCTGACTTGCCATGCTTTAAAGCTTGATTCCATAAATTACCATTTTAAAGAATGACTGTACTACTGTACTAGTATATGAGTGTCCATACACACAAGCAAGGCACAAGAATTAAATTGAATCTAAAACAGTTTCATGTTTTCTGTAACATTTTAAATAATAATAATAACAATAATAATAATAATACTGTATTTATTCGGCAAAGTAAAAGTACAATTTTGCCAGGAGCAAGGAATAGGCAGGAGCCCCTACAGTAAACTGCCCATGCTCCATCATCAAATGAAATATGTAAAGGAGAAACATTAAAAAGTACAACTGATTTAAAAATTAACTTAACTAACAAAACTAAAAATGTAACTAAAATTAAAAATCCTGATTTGAAAATAAACTCAGAATAGTCAATAAAAAATGTAATATTATAAAGAGCATACAAACATAAACATGTATAACTTACAAAATCGGATTATGCATGCTTTTATTTAATTTGATTCTACTTGATAAAGACAAGTCAATCGCTTGATTTAAACTTGCTAGGCCATTACTGACTCAACTGTTTTAAGCAAATCAGCAGGAGTTTCTTTATCAAGTAGAATCAAACACTGCAGCACGGATAATCCGATTTCGTGGGATTTTGGATAATCAAAATCCAGGAGATAAAAAGCACCCAAAAAAGCTAACAGGGCTTCATCAAGTTTGGATATTTCCACTGTCGTGAGAATTGTTCTGCCAACAACAACATAGCTGTTGGTTGCATCCAGTAAAAGAACAGGAACATTCCCACTTCGACGGGAAACCCAATTTTCTGGATCTTCATGGTCCTATTAAAAATAAAACAACAATGGTTATTATACCTTAAAATCAAAAAATGACTCAAACTGTCCTCCAGCTGAGGTGGCTTGGTGGCGGAGGCAGAGGCAAGCCCCAGCTCTATTTTAGGAAGAAAAATAAATTAAGAGAAATAAATAAAAAATAAGAATTGGTTACATATTATTAAAATATTATTTTATTTAAATAGTTACCTTCAAAATTTCTAACAAGTCCGTCACTTTTTTTGTTTTTTTCCCACTGAATATCTGTGACATGTTTGTGAAGATATGTGTTATCTTTGCATCTGAAGAAAAAAAAGTTTAATGATAAATGAAAAGAATAACTCTGCAAGTACGACTATAATTAAACACATAAAATATTACATAACAATATTATATATATACTGTCTCTTATACCCATCT